TCTCCGTGTGTTCCAACAACACCACACGACTCGACCTCGTGCGCGCCCTTGCCGTAGAAAACATTCTTCTCGCCTCGCGCGGTTCCTGCGGGCGCCCCGGAGACCTGAGGAGTCCGAGATCAAGAAGAGGAAGAGGAACGCGAAGAATAAGAGGGAAAGAGGAGAAGAATTGTTCTGCGCGCGAGGGAAGATTCTCCAGTTCCATCTGCTCGGGAGAAAATTCGCGTGCCGGACGAACTGCGACGGAATTCGGAAGTACGAAGACGACGACAGCGTTGAGGGTGCAAAGAGGGAAAGGGAAGGAGAGAGAGAAAGAGAGAGAGAGAGAGAGAGACACACGTACACGCACGTACAGAGGAGAGAGCGTCGCGGTGCGCTCGAAGCGGTGCGCACGCGGGCGCGAGCCGACGTTGACGAAGTCCAGGATCGGAAGGCCGCGAAGAACACCCCGTTCGAAAGGAAGAGAAGTTGGTTACCCGAAGGAATCGTCCGCTCTCTCGCGCGCCACCCTTCGAGGTCAGGTGCGCCATCGAGCGCGCGAAGCATCGGGCCGCGACTTCGACACTCCGCAAAGCCGATCGATCGAAAACGAGCGGCCCAAGTGCCTGACAGTCGATTCGACGCCATCGTCGTCTCTCTCGCTCTCTATATACACACAGAAGAGAGCGCGGGCGGCCATTGATCTCCGTATCGACGCCGACCACGACCAATCGTCGACGACCCCTCTTCTTCTCTACCACCCCTGGCCGGTGTGTACGTGTGTGTGTGTGTGGGGGTGTGTGTGTGTGTGTCTGTCTGCCTGTGTGTATGCCTCTGTACACGCGTGTGTGCGAATTCCGCCGTCGGTGTCGCCCGATCGAGTTATCGTTCTCGCGGATCGTTCGTTCTCGCGGCCACAGGAGGACATCTTGAAGAGCGAATCTCCATATACGCGACGTGGTGCCGTCATGGTGGACGAGGCAACCCTTATCGGCGTATCGACGTTTCGATCCTGAAGACTGGCGATTTCGACGGCGATTTCCGCGCGTGCGCGCACGAGCGGACACCGCGCGGTTCGCGTTGGACCGACCGACGTGCATCGATTCGGCGATCGACCGGACGGATCGGCGACGCTCCTTGAATAACCTGGACCGATCACAACGATTTCCGGGAAGGTGGAGGAAGAGGAGCAAAAGTCTGTAGTGAACTACGAGAAACTTGGCGCACTTGCATTGGGCAAAGTAACTTCCCGCGGCGACCTAGTTCGGGGGGGAAAAAAAAAAGTTGGCCACAGAGTCGAAAGACCGTTCGCAAAGAGAACCGGCCAATTGTCGCGAACGTCTCGCGATGAGGAGGCTTTCTGGAGTGTAGTCGAGGTTTTAAAAAATCTCTCGGCAAAAAAGACTAGACGGCGTGTTGTCGGGGAAGACAGGCGACGATCGCGAATCGAATCGCAAATCGAGTTGCGTCGAATCCGGAGCAGCTTTCGTATCA